TTTACAGGTCTAGCGAACAACACTTAAAAAAAACAAAGAGCCCAAGAAAACGGCCTTGCTGAATGAAGCAAAGCGGAGCCAATTGAGGGTAGCTTTTGTAAGTTGGACCGAAGCTGGTACCTTGAGGTAGGTCGTAAAGGTAATTCTTCAACCTTCGTTACAGTTTTCTCCTGTCTGCTGCTGTATCATTTAATATCCTTTGCTGATCCAGCCCACCACGGTCGAGGTTTTGAGCTCAGGCCATGTGTGTTTGGTGGCGGTGGGGACACAGGACGGAGCGGGTTCAGAACCGGGTGGGAGGAAGAGAAGGGCCGCGGTGGTGAGGGGTGGAGGCGTGTGCGGCTGCAGAGGGCCTCCACCTGCTGTCTGGGCACAGCTGGGGGTTGAAGTGCAAGTGCATGGAATCTGCAGCCTTGAAGGGGCCTGTAGAGAAAGGGGCTCCCATAAGAGAAAGGGAGGGAGTCCACGGAAGTGTGAGATTGGAGGAAGAACAGTGCTTTGAGTGACTGCTGCAGGGTCTTCCTATTATTTTTAGTTCTCAGGATTCTCGTTCCCAGCCTGTCCTTGTCAACATGAGATGAAACCCTAACCCTTTCTTCCCACTGTTTTTACTTGTCCTGTGTTATGCTCTCCTAGTTTTTCTCATACTCTTTTTTTCTGTTGCCCTCTACTTTTGTGAACTCTGTTAGATGGGACAAAAAATCCTGGGACTTTGCCACCTGGGGCTCTGGTTTAATTTCAGTTCCCACAGTCTGCTCTTCTCTGGACCCTGTACGCAGTTAAGAGGCCACATGATCCACGGAGAATTGGCTTTCCTGGACCCCAACTTTCTGAGCAAACATATGCTTAGATACACATACAGGCCGAACCTTGCTGCTGCTTTTAAATAGAAATCTTCCCAGTAACCAGTAGACTTCCCACCTTGTTAAACATGGTACAGAAGCACCAGGTGACTTTCCCTGCAGCCCCAGGGTCACGGTTGCAAGCTATAGACTGTTAGAAAGTGTCCAGGTTGTAGCTCAAGTTGCAGGCGTGCCTGGTTCCACCATGGGAGGAGTGAGCCCATCTCACTGCTGTGTGGTAGTGGTGGCCACAACTTTTCTGAGCACTATGATGGCCTTGACAGCCATTGGCTGGTGAGTGACTAGTGGGTTCCTCCCCACCCCACCCCCCACGCAGCAGACCTGGCTGGTCTAGGGTGTGTGCCCTGCCTGGGAGTGTCTCTACCCCACATGGGAGGGATGCTGCTTTGGCTGCTTCTCATCTCCAGCTACCTTGGCTGTCGGCCCTTTTCCTGGGGTCATGTAATTTTAGGACTCAACCAGGAACTTATATGTTTAGTCCATTCTCTTTATTTTAAGCTGAGGCCCATTTATCAAAGTTGATCTGTGTAGATTTTGGTAAGGCTGAGACTGGAACCCATGTTTCTTAACTCATTGGATAACACCACCTTGATTATTCTCTTCTCGTTCTTTCTAGTAAATTAGCTGTGACTGAGGACTCTGATCTTAGATTTCCCATCCCTCGTCTTTTCCTCTCTCGCCGGTCCCTTCCTTCCCTCTTTTCCTTCCTCCTTTTCCTCCTCCGTCTCCCTCCCTCTTTCCACTCTCTCCCTCCCTCTTTTCCTCTCTCCCTCCCTCTTTTCCTCTCTCCCTCCCTCTTTTCCTCTCTCCCTCCCTCTTTTCCTCTCTCCCTCCTTTCCTCTCCTTTCCTCCCTCCCTCTTTTTCTCTCTCCTTTCCTCCCTCCCTCCTTTCCTCCCTTCCTCCCTCTCCCTCCTTCCTTCCTCTCTCTTCTTCCTTCCTCCCCTTCCTTCCTTCTCTCTTTTTCATTATTGTATTTATTTCATATTCTTTCATTTAACCCATTCTGTGTAGGCATATTTTTCTGGATTTCAGTAATACTGGAGTAGACAAGAACAAAAGTCTCTTCTCCTATATATCTTAAATTCATATGCGGGAGACTGACAGTAAACAGGAAGAATTAACAGCACTTTAGGAGCAAGTGTGCTGTGTTGTAGTCACCATTTTCAGGGAGTTACCTGCCTTAGGTGAGAAATATCCCTAGAGAGTGGCGGGGCAGAAGGCGTGGGCACCTCAGTGTGGTGTGGGCACCTCAGCGTGCATTTCAGGGTGGGGCCCTGGTGAGATGGCGTTCTAGTTGAGATGCAAGCTGAGAGTTGTTTAAAAGAGTTTTGAAAGAATCAGTGCACAGCTCTAATTGGTGTTTTTAAAGAAAACTCCAGAATAAATATAACAGAAGAATGTTTAAAGTTTAAAGATTTAAAACTTATCTGAGGTTAAGAATGATGTGAACCCATAAGTCAAAGAGAGGTTGCCTGGTATCAAGCAAAATGAATGAATAGAGATTATTACGTATGTCAGAATCTTTTCCAGAGGAAAAAAGGTGTATTACAAACAAAAAATTAAGTGCCTTCAAAGGAAGAAAATCAAGCTGGTGCCATTCATCACGAATTCGTACTGAGCAACTGCACTGTGAATACAACTGTGAACAAGACAGCATGCTCCCTCCTCTCCTGAAGTAGAAGAGACAACCAATAAGCAGTTTCAGATCGTGCACAGTGCCATGAAGAAAGGAGACGGGGCCATGTGAAGATCTTCCGTTTTTGGTTCCACCATCACTGCTCACATGAGAACCTTTATTCAAGAGCTGTCCTGTGTGCCTGAGCCGTCCCCACCACCTTCCTCGAAGGGCAGGGCCTCCCTGGGCGTTTGCTGGAGGCAGTGTGAGGACATCACAGCTTGGCTGCCTTCTTCCCCGAGCTCTTTCAACATCAGGAGGCTCTGGCCAGGCGTGGTGGCTCACAAGTGCCTGTAATCCCAGCACTTTGGGAAGCTGAGGATGGGAGTTTGAGACCAGCCTGGCTAACATGGTGAAACCCCGTTTCTACTAAAAATACTAAAATTAGCCAGGCGTGGTTGCGTATGCCTGTAGTCTCAGCTACTCGGGAGGCTGAGGCAGGACAATCGCTTGAACCCAGGAGGAGGAGGTTGCAGTGAGCCGAGAGCGCGCCACTGCAGTCCAGCCTGAACGACAGAGCAAGAGCCTGTCTCAAGAAAAAGAAAAAGACCCGGCCGGACGCGGTGGCTCAAGCCTGTAATCCCAGCACTTTGGGAGGCCGAGATGGGCGGATCACGAGGTCAGGAGATCGAGACCATCCTGGCTAACACGGTGAAACCCCGTCTCTACTAAAAAATACAAAAAACTGACCGGGCGAGGTGGCGGGCGCCTGTAGTCCCAGCTACTCGGGAGGCTGAGGCAGGAGAATGGCGTAAACCCGGGAGGCGGAGCTTGCAGTGAGCTGAGATCCCGCCACAGCACTCCAGCCTGGGCGACAGAGCGAGACTCCGTCTCAAAAAAAAAAAACACCATCAGGAGGCTCTGATCTGACCAGTAGGTGTTATAGTGTTGGGGGTGGATTAGAATATGGTCTCCCTCTTCTGGGGAGTGCACACTTGGTTGGGAAGGAGATAGTATGAGAAAATGTGTCACATTTTTGGTCTGTTTTTACCTTTACTGTGACTTGTGTCAGAAGTTATTTCACTTGCTTGGATCCTCCCCAACAACTCTGAACTGGAAATCATGAGCAGACTCTTAGGTTGATGTGGAATTGACTTTCCAGGTTTGTTGACCCGGGAGGCGTGTGGTGAGGGCCGATGAGGGTCACATCTGTGTCCAAGTCTCGAAAGTTATCAGAAGTGGGGTTTCACGCTGGGGCCTGAGGGCTGAGATTTCCTTCGTTTCCCACTGGGTATGGCTCTGGACTGGCAGCTCTTGTTGCAAGCAGGGCCTGATAAGGGTGCTCTTCCAGGCCACCCCATGTGTGTCCCTCTAGTGGTCGACTTGCCTGCTGGGCAGCCAGTGCTTTTTGGGGTACACTGGTGGCTGCTCTGGTCTCACAGCTCACTCAGCTGCTTCCCAGCTTTCCCTCCATTCTCTCTTACATGACTCGTAGACATTTCCCCTCCTAGACTGCACTGCACGTAAGGAAAGACCTTCCAGCCATTGGGGACAGGGTTCGGTATGGTAGTTATGAAGGCACGTGCCCAGGTCACACCTAGGTTGACAAGCTGATTGTCAAAGGAAGGGTGGGTTGGGAGAAGTGATGAACTTCACCTGCCTCACTAGCTTCTTCATCTCACTGAACTAAAGGGAATACAAACCTCTGTTTCTTGTATATGTTTAGATCCTGTTTGGAGCCTTTTTGAGCATTGTCACCTCTGGCACTACCTGTGCCCTGTTGTCTGGGCTGCTCAGGTGTTGCTGAATGTGTTTGCATACAAAGGGCATCTTATGTCAATCCCAGTTCTTAACCTAAGCATGATATTACGAAGTCCTGATTGTCCATATGTTGTAAGAACCTTCATTACTAATGTTTTAAGGTGATTTGGGGAAGTTTGGTTTGTTTGAGGGAGTCCCCATCCTTTGGAGATGGTGCCAAGGGACATAACTCTGCTCACTGCAAAGAAGCCTCCGGTTTCAACACTAGAGAAAGGTCTTGGACTGAAGAACTCTCATCTCCCTTTTTTCTCGTAAGATTATTATGATGGTATGTCAGTGAATGGATGGCGCTTGGTTTGCAGTGTAACCACGGTGAAAAGTGGAAACTGGTGATGCATTGATGGAAAAAAATAGCATTGTTGAAGATGAGTGAAGGCGGGGTGGGATGAGCCGATGCGCTGCAAGAACCCAGGCAGCCAGCCTGTCTACCGCACTGCGCACCAGCCCTTCCTGTCACTGGATGCTGAGCCCACGGCCTCCCTGCTCCTGCCTGCGGATCAGGAAGTGCCCACAGGCCTGACTGGGAGGAGGAGCCCTGAGGGCCCGGGAAGAGTGTGAACCAGGAGACAGCAGGCTTTATTTTCGCATGTAGTAATGTTGGGCCACTTTGGTCAACCACGTGTTACTCTTAATGGTCATAAATATCACGTACGCCTGTAGATGCCAGTTACGGGTGTGTTCCTAAAGATTGCATCTGCTTAAGTAATAAGCTTATATCAAATCAGATTTTGTTTTGATGAGTTACAGCTGTGACTTAGGGTTATCTGTGGTTTTCTTGATTGTAGAGTTGATTGGTTTCTTCTAGAATTATTTTCTCTATATAATTTAAACAATATCGCTTAGATTGTACCTTGAGACGTGTAGCCAGCGTACTTTCTTTGACACGATATTGTGAAGGTGTAGGATGCTGTTGCGTAGAGCCCTGCCTCTCCCGATGTGGAGGAGAGTCCCAGAGAACTCAGGGTGCTCACTCAGGAGCGCGCCCCAGGAGAAGATTTGTTCGCAGTTAATATGTGCATTTGCAGCTTTTGACTGGAGCTTACATTAGAAACCACTGTTTGTTTTCTCTGTCGGCAGTGTCTTAATGTCTCATTTCATATCTTTCCCAAATGGCCCCACACGGGTCTCTCCTTCCACCTCATTTTAATTGCTTTGGAAGGTGACTGCCTGTTCCCCACATAACGTTTACTTTAAAACTCAGACATGGGCCGGGCACAGTGGCTCACGCCTGTAATCCCAGCACTTTGGGAGGCCCTGGTGGGAGGATAGCTTGAGGCCAGGAGTTCAACACCAAGCTGGGCCATAAAGCAAGACCTCCCCAACTGCGACTCCTGCCTCTACAAGAAATTTAAAAATTAGCTGGGCATGGTGGTATGCCCTGTAGTCCCAGCTATCCAGGAGGCTGAGGTGGGAGGATGGCTTGAGCCAAGGAGGTCAAGGCTCCAGCCTGGGTGACAAAGTGAGTCCCCCTCCCACCCCCTAAAAAACCCTCAGACACAAATTCTTCATGTGCTGTGGTTTTTCCTGGAAGCAGGGATAGACAGACTCAGTTAGACGTGAGCGTCTCCGTCAGCACACTGTGGGGCACGTCGCGCTTCATTAAGTTAACACGCGCGAGCAGCTTAACCATTCTTCTGAGGGTGAACGTAAGTAATGCTGCTGTTGAAGATTTTGGGCAGCATATACCATTTTCCAAATTTAAAATGTAGTATAGATGCCTAAAAGTCAAAGTAATTGGTTTTAACAAGTTTGGATATTTTTGTGGCTTTCGATTTGTATGCCAAACTGCTTGCCATTGATTCAAGTGCCAGTCCAGGTTTCCAAATTAGTCATAGTTAGATGTCTGGCGGGAGAGCCAGCAGGCAGGAAGACCATGTGGCAGCCCCCTACAGAAGTCCTGGGGAGAAGAGATCGCTTTAGACTAATCCAAAGTTAGGAGGGGTGGAGGGGACACAGGGTGCTGAGAGCCCAGGAACCATATACCCTGGGTTGCGACTGGATTTAGGACGGTCCAAAGAGGGGATCCTAAGGAGCTGGGTGACCCTCGTGCCCCTGGCATGGCTGCCTGGGAGGATGCCCCCCACCCCGCGTTTTTTTTCTTTTGCTACAGAGTCTCGCTCTGTCACCCAGACTAACGATCTTGCTCCCTGCAACTTCGTCCTCCCAGGTTCAAATGATTCTCCTGCCTCAGCCTCCCGAGTAGCTGGGACTACAGGTGCGGGCCACGGCGCCCAGCCAGTTTTTGTATTTTTAGTAGAAATGGGGTTTCGCCATGTTGGACGGGCTGGTCTCGTACTCTGCCTGCCTTGGGCTCCCAAAGTGGTGGGATTACAGGCGTGAGCCACTGTGCCCGGCCCGCATGTTTGTTCTTGATGGTGCGGTACTGGCTGCCTTCCTTGGAAGCCGGGAGGGTGATATGTGAGTTGTGTTCAGATGGGGCTGGCAGGGGTTTTCTCAGTGAACTTCCCGTGGTACACAGTGGCGTGCAGAAGTTCGCTCCTCGGTGCTGGCTGCTGCCTGCTTATTGTCTGCCCCTGAACCTGAAAGCAAGTCCTTGGGCCTCTGAGTGAAATCAAGGCAAGCGCATCACCGACGTAGTCAGCAGAGACCGGCCTCTGCCGGGGCCTGCCTGCCAGTCACCGAGTACATTTAGCTAGTGGAGAGATACTTGGAGGTCTGGAGGTGCATCCGTCAGAGATCATGTTCAGTAGCACAATAGAGTGACCGTAGTTAATAATTTACTGTGTTTCAAATTAGCCAGAAGAGAAGATTCGGAATAACCCAACACAAAGGAATGATCTGTGTTTGAGGTGAGAGGTATCCCAGCTACCCAGATTTGATTGTTACACACTGTATACTTACACCAGAATATCACATGTACCACCAAAATTATGTGCCCTTAAAAATGAAAGAAGGTCTGTATGGCTAGGAGACAGCATGCTTTGAAAATAGCAGTAGCAGTAACGAAATCTGAGAGGCCTGGGGGAAGCCGACAGATGTGGAATCACACAAACTTGAGAGCCACCTGTTGGTGTGGAAGAACCGCTGCTGCACGAGAGTCACGATAGCCACCTCTGTTCTTACCTTTCCCCTCCTCCATCCTCCCTCCTTGTGTCTGCTCACTCCTGTCCTGCCGCTGCCACAGTTCTGGGTGCTCACCCACCCTGTGCTCCCGTGCACCTGCTTCCCCGCTCTTAGGGGCAAGAGACTGGGATCAGTTGCATTTCTGCTGATTTTTAAGATAACGCAATGCAAAATAAAGCAAAGAGTCCAAGTTGTAGAGGGAAGGAAAATAGTATTACTTCTAACATCAGCTCTCCTGGGCTGACCCCTTCAGCATAAGATTTAGTAGAAAGAATTTAGAATAAGACTTGCTGGCAGCTTTTCATCTTCACTGAGAATAAGGAAATAGAATATGCTGTAGGCATCATTCCCATGGACCGCTGGGCTCGGGGGCTTCCAGTAGGGATTTCTGGTACTCACTAAGGCTGCAGGAACATGGTAAGTGCGTCCTCTGGATAGTTACAGCGCCGTGCAGCCACCACAACGATGCTTCAGCCTATGCATTTCCTTGCTGTAGAGTGAGTGTGAGAGATGTGTTCGATTCTCACTGAAGTTCTTGGAATAATGATGGATTACATGCACAGTGAGAACAGCAGGAAAGCTGTGCCAGACTCAGGTGTGTTCTCTACGTCCCCAAGTCATCTTTTGCCAGCCCGTATTAGGACTATATCCTGCCTCATTGTTGGCTTCTGTCTTGTTTGGGGATTGGTATCACCCGCTGTCGAAGTCTCATGAGCTGCCAAGTTCCTCTTAAGATGGCCTGGCTCTTTCATTGACATGACATGTTCCAAGAATTCATTCCTTTGCCTGACTGCTTGGTTGTGCCACAGGCCTGTGCTGGGCAGAAGGAGGTGGGGCAGCTGGACCTGAGATGTCCTGGTGGGGGCCACGTGGCTTCTGCAGATGTCTCCTCTAGGACATTTGGCAGAAAATGCAGGCACTAGAGAGACACGGTAAATGACACCAGGAAGAAACCACCAGACAAACTGCGAATTTGGGACCTGTTTCTTCTTTGAGTTGATGCCACTGGGGAGAGGACTGTTCTAGGTTGGAAGAGCCTTAGCGACCTGACCAAGTACCCCGTGGACTTCGGATCCTGATTCAGATAAACCGTTTTTGAACAGCTGAGAACATTTAATTATACATGACATTAAGGAATTCGTGCTAATTTCAGGCACTGATGGGTAGTTAAAAAAAAAAAAAACGTATATTAGCACACTGAAGTACTCGGGGGGAAATGTCATGACAACTGATTGATTTTAAAATATACTCTGGGAACACATGGACAAAGCCTGTATGGCAAAATGTTAATAATTACTAAATTCATGCAGTAGGTAGATGAGGATGCATTATATTAATATTTCTCAGTTCTTTGTATGTTTGAACATTTTCATAATAAACTTTTAAGTTCTGGGCCCCTTGTGAGGCACCTTGTATGGCCACCTCCTCCTCCTCTTCCTCCTCTTCCACCCCCATTCTGCAGACGAGGGAAACAAGGCTCAGAGGTTAGCTCTTTCATCTAACGTCGCAGGACTTTGTAGAACTGGTATTTCAACCCAGGTCTCTTGAGACCAAGGTACCCACTTTCAACCTCACAGCTGTGCCCTGAGTTCTAAGCACTGCTGGAGGGGGTGACTCGCGAGCGTACACCCACTCCGAACTCCTCTCTGCTCACCTCTCTTACCCGTCCTGCTGGCTCCCGGGACTCCACGGGGAATGCCGAACGCATCCAGCAGGAGGCGTAGTAGGAGTGAATTGATAAGCCATCTCCATGTAGAGGCAGAAAACATTTGGCATATTACAGTTTCTAATGTTGTCTCTTTTGAAATTATAGCGAGGGCTTATGTTTTTAAATATTAGTTAAAAATACCTTTTTCAAAACCTCAGAAGTATTGAGACGTGTTACCATTTTCCCCCTAAATACTGTGTATTGGAATTGAGTCCTGCTTGGTGTTTGTAAAGATGCTTTTCTTGTTGCAGGCAGACATCTGGTCCCTGGGCATAACAGCCATTGAACTTGCAAGAGGGGAACCACCTCATTCCGAGCTGCACCCCATGAAAGTTTTATTCCTCATTCCAAAGAACAACCCACCGACGTTGGAAGGAAACTACAGTAAACCCCTCAAGGAGTTTGTGGAGGCCTGTTTGAATAAGGAGCCGAGCTTTGTAAGTTCCCAGGGATCACCACATACCTCCTCATGTGTGGCTTGACTCGGCTGAGATACATCCTGTTGGGATTGCTTTAATCACTTTTCAGCTGTCTTCCTGGTATTATTCATTTTTCTTTTCCTAAATAAGTATGATTGACTTCTTTGGTTTGCAAATACATTTTAACTTTTAAGTATTAAAAATTTCCTTCTTTTAGATTTCCACCATCTCATACTTCATTGAATCTGAAGAATATTCTCCCTAATATTAAATGTGGAATCATAAATGTTTAATATTTATAGAGGATCAGGCCGTAAACTGTTACACTGTTTTTAGTAATGGCAGAGGTTAGCTGCCATTACTAAATGGCTAATATGTCATTAGCCATTTAGTAATGGCAGCTAACCTCTGCCATTTCCAATAATGGAAACAAATGGCTAAATATGTCTTTAAAGTAAATGTTTTCACTTTCCAGGTGGTGTGTGTTAGGAAACAAAAGATTAGGAAATATAACCAAACCACCCTCTGCTTCCCCTACCCCTCCCCCTTCCTACCTACTTTCTGTTTTTAGGTTTAATAGACGCTGGCAGAGCCGTACAGCAGTAACGACTGTGTGGCTTTGCCTCGTTTTCTGTCTGAATTAGGACGTTTCTTTGAAAGTTGTGTCTGTGTATGTGTGTCTGTGTGTGTGTGTGTGTGTGTGTGTGTGTGTGTGTGTGTTGGTGTTGGAGGTAGCACCATATGTCCTTGTTTTGTTTCTGAGTTTTTCAGCAGAGTTAACTGAAGGCCAAGCTGAGCCCCTCTTTTCTTAACTCTTGTGTAAAAATGAGTGGTTACTTTTACAAGAGCACCATGGTTGCCTAATATGCCAGTTTTGGTAAAGGAATTACATGAGGAATGCAACATTTTCTAAGCACCTCTGGGGAGATGCAGGCTGAGACCACCACACCAGCGTTTGATGACTACATCAGCATCTTGTGGTAGTGGGGCTTGTCCTGCACGCCACGATGCTCTGCATTTTATTACCAGATGATGTTTGTTGCAGCCACCATGCACCAGCACTGGTGGAGATACGTGCAGGCATGTCTTCCCTTACAAAGCATGTGTCTAGTATGGGCTTATGCTCCAGCACACAGAGCTCCACCCCACAGCTACCGAGGAGCTGGCTGAGAGGCGAGACTACGAGCACCTCCGGGGTAGCTGGGGTTTCACCCTTGGGTGGACGGGGAGGGAGAATACTCAAGGGTGATCCAGGTTTCTCACGAGTTTGAATCTGAAAACGTGCTTGGCTTTTGTGGTCAAGCTTTCGTAATTTGGAGTGAGTGGGAACTCGGTTCGACTCGGTATTTGGGTGTTCCTGCTGTCTATTCCAATTTGGGCCGTGCTGGTTTCCTTGGGAAGCACATTCCCTGTCACTGTCGCCATCCTCAAGGCAGGCAGCTGACCAGGTGCTGAGCCCAGGGCATGGGTGAAGTCTTCAGCCCAATCACAAGGGAAGGGAGGGACCTGGGAGACAGCCCTTCTCAACTGGGAAAGTTGGTGATGCAGAGCGCCCAGCTGCTCTTTCAGCAGACGGGAGAAAGGGCATCTCCTGGCTCCTTTCCGGTTTCTTGGAGAGAATTCCAAATTGACATTTCTATTATATGGTTGGATGTGGCCAAACGTTAAAAAACTGGGCATAGTGGCGCAGGCCTGTAATCCTAGCTACCCAGGAGACTGAGGCAGGAGAATCGCTTGAACTGGGGAGGTGAGGTTGTAGTGAGCTGAGATCGCGCTACTGCACTCCAGCCTGGGCAACGAGCAAAACTCCATCTCAAAAAAAGTTAAAGCGACATAGAACATACATTCTGTCAGCTATTTGTCATAAAGTATTTCATAAGCTAGGAGATAAGGTCTCTTAAATGATCCCTGTGAAGCTCTGTGCAGAGGTTTCTGTGGGAATGCATTTATTAGGGACCTCCTTAGAAAGTCACTGCCCTGCCCACCACGGTACCTGGAGCCCAGGCGTAGGTCCTGAGCGCCTCGTCTTTGGGTGAGTCACAGTGAGAAGAGGTGCGGAGTAGAATTGCAGCCATCAGGTGTCAGTGTGGCGGGTTGACATTTTGAGGCAGAAGTCTGTCCTTTGGGGTGGGATCAAGAGCTTCATCTCATATTTTGTTGTTGTGTGTGTTTTTCCAGAGACCCACTGCTAAGGAGTTACTGAAGCACAAGTTTATACTACGCAATGCAAAGAAAACTTCCTACCTGACCGAGCTCATTGACAGGTACAAGAGATGGAAGGCCGAGCAGAGCCACGACGACTCGAGCTCCGAGGATTCAGACGCGTAAGTTGGCCCCTGAGCGACCCGAGCGTGTGTGTGGGAGGGACCCACTGGTCTTTGTCACTTGTTTGGTGTGGGTTTCGTTTTCTGTTGAGTTTTTTTTAGACAATCCAGGCTGGTGGCGGTTGCTGTGTTAGCCACATCCTGGGCCTGTTGGGGAGCTGAGCCCCTGGATGTTGCTGGTGGAATTTCTACGAGTGAACTCTGTGGCAGAGCTGTGTGTAGGGAACTGGACCTGGCTGTTTGATTCTGTTTTGTTTCATTCGGTTCTGCTCTGTTTTGTTTTCCATTACACTTTCTGTTCTTAAAATCATGATCAGGTGAAACTGCTTTCCATGGATGTCTGAAAGGCCAGAAATGCACATGTTTGTGATTCTCTGTTGTGTCTGGTAGAAGCTTCTGTACCAGCGGTGACTTTCTGAGAACTGCTGTCAAGTTCGGCATCTAGGAATTCCCTTGGCTGAAGAGGCGAAGTGGGGCTGGAGCCATTTGTGTGGCGAGGGCTGGGGAAGGCGGTCGGGCAGGCTTGTGTCTGGAAGTCCAAGCCTGGGCTCGTCTGTTCTCGTGCATGCCTTGGCAGGAGTCAAACTTGGCCCACAGTGCAGGTCCATGCGCCAGGCCAGATGAATGAGGATTTCCGGGGGTGACACCCTAAGTGGGTTTTCAGTGTCTCTAGGTGATTGCAGTTTAAAGCCAAGTTTGAGACCACTGCCCTCAGAAGTTCTTGAGGTACTGCCATTGGGAGATTGCCGGGGTAGCAACAGGGATGACAAGATAAAGAGACTGGAGAGAGGTTTGAGAGCCAGGACGTGGCGGTGGATTTGGGTGAAGGAGGGAAGCCCACGTTCCAGGCTTGGGCAGCGTGGCCACAGGCGTTGTGATGTGCGGTGCAGGAAGCCGAGTGTGAGGTGGACCATGTATGTGTCGGAGTTGTCCAGGAGGAGACGTCCTGTGTGAAGTGGCAGCGAGGTGTGGCGTTCAGGTGAAAGAGCTGGGCAGGTGAAGTGGGCTTAGGGGCCACTGCTCTGTGGAGGTCACTGGAGCCAAGAGAACAAAGGGTGTCAGTCGGGGCGTGTGGGGGAGTGAGGCTGGCCCCTAGGGAAGCCGGCATGAGGGTGAGGCTCCGCCTGTGAATGAGAGGGGAGAGGTGTGGCCGAGGGGCGGGAGGAGGTGCAGGCTCAGTGGGGCCACAGGCGTCAGGATGATGAGCAGGGCCAAGGGCTCATTGCCTCTGAGGCCCACGCGGGACAGGGAGTCATCAGCACACATCTCATGATGGGGGAGGGAGTGCTCGGAGGGACACCGGCGGGCTTTGGAGCGAGTGGAGGGTACCAAATAGAGGCAGTGAGTGTGGATCCTGGAACCGGGGCTGAGAGACGGCCGAGGTGAGGCCAAAGTGTTGGAATGACAGGCATGAGCCACCACACCCAACACAGGGACATCTGCTTTCCTGGTGAGAGGAGGAGCCCAGCAGAGAGAAGCTGATGGCCCAGAGATGGGCTCCCAGGGAGGTGGGGGAGGTGTCCTCCAGGAGGAGGAGGAGAGTGGGCACCCACACGCTGGCACACCAGGGAGGTGCAGGAATCACCTCGCGATGGTCTCGTCTCTGTGAGGGAGGAGGCAGGGGCGTCTTTGGAAAATCCCCGAGGGACTCGACATGGGTGTTATGGTGGGGACTTGGGGCTGGTGGGCGTGGGTTCGGAGGTCCCCAGGTGGCCTCCCCCGAACGTCCCAGCGCCCCCAGAGCAGACGTGCGAGCGCTGATGGGATCTCCCTGCGTGTCTGTGTTAAGGGAAACAGATGGCCAGGCCTCAGGGGGCAGCGATTCTGGGGACTGGATCTTCACAATCCGGGAAAAAGATCCCAAGAATCTGGAGAATGGAGCTCTTCAGCCATCGGACTTGGACAGAAATAAGGTACGTCTGCTTCCTCCAGAATGGCCACACTGACCTCAGTCTGCGGTGTTTTGGAGGCACGTGTGTGTGAAGCTTGCTGTGGGTGCGGGTGGCAGCTCTCATAGAATTTTGTTGCTAGGGGATGGACGGATTGAGAGCTTGAGTTCTGTCTGGTGATCCAGGTGTTCACACCGGGGAGTCTGGCCTCTGGTCTGTTCTGTGCCACTCCATTCTGCTCTCTGCAGCCCTGTGGTCAAGTTAGAATGTCCTGACATGTGGCAATGTCATGAGGTTTGGGGGTGACCCGTGAAATGACTTCATAGCTCTCTTTGGGGGACTGTTGTGCATGTTGGGGTTACTTATATACATATCATAATTTTGTGATTGAGTTTTAAGGACCTTATAAATAAATGCATTGCTTTTGATATTTATGTAAAACAATTTTGATTAATTGGTTTTATGCCTGTTAAATTTATGAAAGGCCATATATTTAGGGTCTTGTGTAAAACATAGTGGTGTAGTTTCTCTCAGGCAGGGTGGGCCAGTAGCTGTGCCCTGTTGATCCTACAAGTCCTGCTTTGGTAAGTGAACAGGTGTTGAATGTCCAAATAGAGGCTGCAAAAGCGGAAACTCGGCCTCTGTCGTAGACAGCACTTGGAATGGCCAATCTTGACCTGATTTCTATTTCCAGGGTTTCATTAGTAAAGTGCTTTTCTCTCTCTCTCTTTCTTTCTTTTTTTTTTTTTTGAAACGGGGTCTCTGTCACCCAGGCTGGAGTGCAGTGGTGCCATCAGAACCCACTGCAGCCTCAAACTCCTGGGCTCAAGCGATCCTCCCACCTCAACCTCCTGATGAGTAACTGGGATTGCAGGCATGTGACACCATGCCCAGTTTATTTAAAACTTTTTATTTTTATTTTTGTCTTTTTTTTTTTTTTAGAAACAGGGTCTCACTATGTTGCCCAGGCTGGTCTCAAACTCTTGGGCTCAAGTGATCCTCCTGCCTCGGCTTCCCAAAGTGTTGGAATGACAGGCGTGAGCCATCACGTCCAACCAGTAAAGCACTTCTGCGTAGATAGCGAGACGAGGCAGTTCACCACCTGCGCCCACGCAAAGTCCCCTTCCACATGGAACCCAGATGCCGGTGTCCCTGGCGCGTGGGTTGTGCATGTCACTGCAGATGAGACTTTGAAGTCTAGCGAGAGGCAGCCAATAGTCTTCAGCTGTCATGGCGCGTAGAGGGCATTTCCTCAGCGTGAAGTGTAGGGGTGAGAGGTTCATTGCATTATTGCCGATGTGAACGTCAACTGTTTCTGATGACCTTTTTTTCCTCTCCTCCAAGATGAAAGACATCCCAAAGAGGCCTTTCTCTCAGTGTTTATCTACAATTATTTCTCCTCTCTTTGCAGAGGTAGGTACCTGGCTGACCTTTTCGGAGTGGGAGGGAAGAGGGAGGGAGAAGCTGGACACACTTCAGTGGTGATGTTGCCAGTAAGAGTTGGGGACATTAAGACAAACTGGCAAAGGCTCAGAAAGCCTGCATGGTGCCTCCCCAAAGGCTGTCAGCGTCAGGCACCACCTTGCACCTCCCACTGTCCTGGACGATGGCCACTCCGCCACAGCCTGGAGTGTGCAGACTGGATGACAGTGACCCAGCCTGAGACCCTGTGTCACCCGTTGCACTGCTTTTTAGCAAATCTCACTGGGTGCAGCCTGCTTCCTTTGCCTCAGACCAATTTCTGGCCATATGAAAAGTAGATTCATTCTTCTAAGGAAGACGTTGGATGCCCTGGAGTCCTCCAGTCTCCCCTGAGCCACATGTTTCACCAAAGTCCCTCCTCTGCTCAGCAGTGCTGTGCTCCCGGCTGGGCCTCCCCGTGCCGTGCCCACCCTCTGCTCAGCCTCTGCCTCCCAGAGGAAAGTGCTCCCGGCTGTGTTTTGAGAGATTTTCAAAAGTAGGCTTTATAAGAATGAAGGTTGTTCTGCATCTGGTTAGTAGCGGATTTGAAAATATGTTGGAAGTCCCCCCTTTTCTTGTTGTGCCCCTTCCTGGCTGAGGTTGCCTTTGAGGTATTCACTGTGGGCCACACACACATCTGTTTGCATGGGGATCGCCCTCTTTGGGCAGCTTTCCACTGTGGCTGTGTTTGGGGGCCCTGGTCCTTGAAGGGGAAGGCCTTCGGGGGAGGAAGCATCATAGGAGCTCATTCCCCTCTCCTGTGCCTGCGTCATACAGTGGGGAATCCCTGGCCGTGGGCTGTGCCCAGCCTGCCAGTGCCTCTTCCCAGCCCTCCAGTGAGCCTGCACCTGTTGCCCTGCCCTGGAGGGTTTGTCTGAGGGCCTCTGACCTGGCAAGTTTCAGGGCCCAGTGCGAGCAGGGCTGTGGCCGGAGCCCGAGGCCTCACCTGCAGCTTCAAGTGGGAAACAGCCGAGCCCGCTGGTGTCGGGGAAGGCACAGGGCACGCGGAGGCCCTGCTGGATGTCTGGCTTCAGCCCTGGCTCATGGTTCTGGGCACCTGTGTTCTTCCTACCTAGGACGTCCAGGTTGAGTGCCAGCCTGCTCTTCATTTTGTCCCATGGGAGTGGGCCCTGTGGGATTTCCAGGCTGCGGTCCTGCGGCTCTGCCATTGGCCTCTGGAATCGGGTCAGTCAGGCAGTTAGGGAAAGTGCATGGAGTTTTTCATTTACCTGAGGCTGTTTATTTTTTTACTGGGCCCATGAAGGAACTTTGACATAAGTATTCAGGACATATCCTAAATGCAATCGTATCCTGGCTTTTCCAGCTAACCAAATGCTAAACTCGCATCTTTCCCAATGTATTTTTATGAATGATATTTGCTACCCTAGAGTTTAGAGTGTTTAATGTGCATTATTTCATACAATACTTGCAGAAGCTCAATAGAAGGATTATAGCCCCATGTTTACAGATGAGGCCATTGAGGAGACGGGCGTTGGCGTCCCTGTTTTCCTTCAGGGAGCACAGGTCAGGTTGCTCCGTGAAGTCAGTGGTGGGTCCAGTACGTTCCACACAGTGAGGGGACTGGCCCTCTCCCAGGGCAGCCCTTCTGCTGCCTTTGCTCCTTCTTTGAGACTTAGAGGCGGGACACGGGCAGGAGGGAGAGTGCTGGATGGTACATGATCCTGTCAGGACTTGTAAATACTGTGGGGGAGTCCTAGACAAACACAAGTGGCCATCTCGGGGCCGGCGGGGTAGGCCCTCTGGGACAGCAAGAGCTTCAGGAACAAATGCTCTCCGCACCCACTGGCCCTCTGAGGTCAGACTTTCCTGTTCCTGCCTGCCCCTTCAGCAGTGGAGAGAGAAGCTGTGGCTCTCAGGGCAGGGCTGGGTTTGGAAATGTGTTCAACAACCTGCAAACCAAGCTGAATGTCGCCTGAGATGTTTCTTACTTCCCTGAAAAGGAGGCAGTGTCCATCGTCTCTGGAGCCACCATGAAGAGCCTCTTCTGTTGAGTTCTGAGCCATGCTGTATCTTGATGGAACAGCTCTTACTTTCACAGTTCACATTTCTCGGCCTTCCAGAGAGAGACTTAGAGTTGACCTTTAACTTAGGGAAGTGCCTGAAGGCACTGTTGTGATTTCTCTTGGGAGCAGAGGAAGGACACTGGAGATTCCCAGAATTTAAGGCTGCCACTTACATGAAGTGGAATGTTTTGACACTACTCTGGATCAAAAAGGCAGTTTGCTGGAGTTTAAGAACCAACCCATTAACATGAGGAAGTAAGCTTTGACGGCCCACGTGGCAGTTTCAGTATTGAGATCAGATGAACTTACGATAGGCTTTGAAATTGCTTTTCTGGTACAAGGTTATGGTTGAAATGGGAAAAGAGCACAGAGAGGACAGTCCATCATGGTGAGACTCGGGAGAGGCACACAGAGAGCTAGTCGTCTCTGTTCTGGCCTAGAACAGTCATGATTATGGTCTGACGATTGCCCTGTCTATACATAACTGCTCTCAGAGCATTTGAATCACCTTTCTTCAAAAGGAATCTGGGCTGGGCGCAGTGGCTCACGCCTGTAATCCCAACACTTTGAGGCCAAGGCGGGCGAATCACTTGAGGTCAGGAGTTCGAGACTAGCCTGGCCAACATGGTGAAACCCTGTCTTATTAAAAATACAAAAATTAGCTGGACGTGGTGGCAGGGGCCTGTAATCCCAGCTACTCGGGAGGCTGAGGCGGGAGAATTGCTTGAACCCAGGAGGCGGAGGTTGCTGTGAGTTGAGATTGTGCCACTGTACTCCAGTGTGGGCAACAAAGCCAGACCCCATCTCAAAAAAAAAAAAAACACAAAAAAAACCAGGGATCTGAAGTGGCCTGGATCCCAAGTCAGAGCCTTTCCCGGACACCCCGTGGCTGGGGTGGTGTCGTGGTCCACGCACTGTGTTGCTACTTGAAAAGCATGCTTCCTGGTTCTGCAGCTGGTGCACCTCACACTGTTCTTCCTGTTCATGTTTTCAGTTGAAGGAGAAGAGCCAGGCATGCGGCGGGAACTTGGGGTCCATTGAAGAGCTGCGAGGGGCCATCTACCTAGCGGAGGAGGCGTGCCCCGGCATTTCCGACACCATGGTGGCCCAGCTCGTGCAGCGGCTCCAGAGGTAACTGCCTGGGGCCCCCCTGGGCTGGGGAAGGAGAGGCCTGCACTTGGCCTGGGACTCGGTTGGTGAGTTTGGCACTTCGCTCTTGGCCTGTCTGTTCCTGTTGTCTTGCAGGCCTCAGGGTACACGCAGAGTTGAATTAGAGGAGACTTTTTTGAATTCTAGAAATCAATGTGAGTGAAGGATCTGAATCTGGAAACTGCTGGAAAAGCCCGCAGGACTTTGTGCGTTTGTAGCTCTTGCCACACAAATACAGGGTGGTGGTGAAATATCTGTTTCCTCTTAATTATGCAGCTTAATTATTGGCCAGAGAATGATCGTTCTTAGCCAGATGTGTGTAACTGTCTCTCTGGTTTTCGGCTTTAAAGTCAATGTGAGAAATGCCAGCAGCTTTGGTGTGGTCACCTCGGCGGGAGCAGGCGCAGGTGTGTTCGCTGTCTTAGCTGTGTGTGTCTTGTCTGGAAGCCTCCTTGGTAGGGGCTCATCTGTGCCAGCCTGTAGGGAGCTTTTGTCCCTGCCCAGTGGCCCCACCTGTTACACACACTGTGGGTGAGGACTCAGTAGGGTGACGGCTTCGCCCTCCCTGCCCCCTCCCAGCTTGTTGTAGGAGTAACCATGGAAACCAAGCCCCTCCTGACTGCCATGGGCACAGGCGCAGGTGTTTGGAGGCAGTGGATGTGTGCTGGGCAGCTGCTCTGTGTGACCCAAGGGTGATTTGTCACTGGGCTGTCCTCCCCCCCCCCCCGGGAGGACCAGGCGTGCTGCTGCCTTGACATTCATCTTCAGGTGTCCAGGCTGATGCCCCTACCAAAGCTGGCTGAGCCTCTGTGATGATGACGGGGATTTCCAGGTCTTCCCTGAGATGCGTCCCACCTGACAGTACATAAAGAAGTTGTGCGCGTGTGAGGTCCCTTTTGCTATCTGGGAGTGATTGAAGGGGCTGCCTACTGTCCTGTGAAGAGCCCCTCTAAGTGGGGATGGCAGCAGAAAACCACAGCTCTGATACTTCCGGTTTATGCTTCTGAACTCGGGTTCCTTAGTATGCCATTTCAACTTTTTAAGTTGCTAGAAAATAAAAATGATTTATTGGCTGCCTTTAATTTTGAGGCAATTGAAGGATGATCCCTCCCTCCTTTGATACCCAAAACAGTATAGGAATACAGGAAAATAGAATGAAAAAGTCATCCATCTTTCGCCTGAACACCAATTTTTTGATTTCTCAAACTTAGTATCACATACCTCATGCTAGTGACATTATTTCTCATTAGAAAGAGCCTTATAATAAAGCAAATAGAACAAAACCAGAAACTCGCAGGATTGTTACTGTCTTGTTCGGCGTTTTGTTTTCTGCTTTTGTAGTATTACTTTTAGAACCAGTACTTTCCACATTGTTCAGAATTGCCTGAAATTGTTATGAACTGTTTGTTTATATACATGACTTGATTTCCCCAGGAGCTCCAGGGCAGAGCATCTGGCTTGTATGTGTTGAACTGATCCATGTTTCCCATTTCCAGACCCCTGTCTCCCTGTTCCTCTTCTTTCAGTTGTTAAGGCAAGTTGATCTGTACTAGTGCTGGCCAGTAGAAGTACAATGGGGGCCACATGCAGAATTTTACGTTTTCTGCTGGATGTGGTGGCTCACGCCTGTAATCCCAATGCTTTGGGAGGCCCAGGCAGGAGGATCGCTTGAGGCCAAGTGTTTGAGACCAGCCTGGGCAAAATAACAAGACCCTGTCTCTACTAAAAAAAAAAAGAAAAAATTTAGCCAGGCATGGTGACTTGTACCTGTGGTCCTAGCTACTTGGGAGGCTGAGGCTGTAGAATTTCTCAAGCCGAGGAGTTCGAGGCTATGGCTATGATCACTTCTGCACTCCAGGCTGGGCAACAGAGTGAGACCCTGACTCTAAAAACCCAACAAAAAGAGAATTTTACATTTTCTCATAGCCATATTTTTAAAAAGCAAAATGAAGTGAAATTACTTTTAACAATACATTTTTAACCTGCCAGATCCAAAGTATTATTTCAACATTAATACCAACAATCATCAATAAGATATTTTACATTTTTGGGGGGACCGTCTTTGGAATTGATGTGTCCTTTACACTCAGCACATCTCCATTCACAGGCAGCACATTGCACGTGCTCACTGGGCATCGTGGCTGGGGATGACCCTCTTTACCCTCATGCGGGTCTGTAGCTACCTGATGTCTGTGTTGTGTTTAAAACTTTACTTTGCAGTGACACACAGGGGAGGCCGAGTCGGCGCTCTCTTGCCTTTGTCTGTGATGAGTGCCCCTCTTTCCTCCTCTGTCCTCAGACGACCTGCCTATTGGGGTGCTTATCGTCTCCCTGCAGGCTTGGCTGTGGCCCCCACTTCTCCCTTCCCTGCTCCTGAAGCTCCCACTGAGCGTTCACCTCTGCTGGCTGCCAAAACCACAGGGCCATGGCTTAGACTTCCTGCCAGTTTTGCTCCGAACACGTTATTTCAGTGGATGACTGTAGGAAAAATGAGAGCTGCCTCTCGTCTGAAGCATTTTCAGAGCTTACTATGTCATCATGTATGGATCCATTTTTTAGAGTTTCTATGGTACTTATTTCTGTCTCAGCTGGAATTAATGTTTGGATTCTTTTGTGTGACATCAACTCATCCTGTGATTTAGTCATTTGTACTTCTTTATAATTGAGTCTTAGGCTCCGTGGCTAACACGTGCTTTTGGGAGGACCTTATGTAACCATTCGTTCTCTGGGAGGGTGCCAAGTATTTCAGATGCCTTAAAAGAGGAGCTCTAGATGGGAACGTTTGAGATTAGCCTCGCCAAATACGTCCTCAGCCATCTCTCCCGGACCTGTGACTTGGAGTCTGCTGTAAAATGGTTGAGGGAATTGTGGTCATGAGGGGACCCTGTCCTCACCCTTTTTTGTATTCTAGAGACAATCTTGTAGAATTTTTGGAAGACACAGAAATTACCCATGATCCCACCACCGTAGCCCAAATCTCATCATTATCTTTGGGTGCATTGCCTTCTGTTGTCATCCCAGGTTATAAACTTACTGAATTCTCTTATCTACCTTATAGTGCAGATAAGATTTTTTAGAATTTCTATATACTTATTTAGGATACAGAAGTTGTGTGTGTAAACTATACTTATATAGCGCACATATACAGGTTGAATAGCCCAAATCCCCAATCTGAAACTTTTTGAGCACCAGTGTGAGGCTCAAAGGAACTGCTCTCTGGGCCATGTCAGATTTCGGATTTGGGGATGCACATTGGTAAGTATAATGCAGATATTCCCAGATGCAAAGCCAGAAGCATTTCAGATAAGGGATGCCCAACCTGTAATTTTGTATGTACTTTTAAACTTGTACATATTTTTAATATTGCTTTTATATATATACGTAGATACAGATAATTACCAATTTTAGTCTGTGTTATTTCAGTTTGTATAATTTACTTAACTGATTCTGTACTGTTGGGCATCAGAGTTGTTTCCAAATTAGTGTAATTACGAAAATCCCAAGAGACATTTTTGTGCAGACGGGTTGTTCCTGCTTTGGACCGTATTTCGGAAGCAGTTCTAGGAAATAGATTCTTGGACTACATCACTATTTTTATAGCCAAAATGGGTTTCCTGCCCTCACATCGGGAATGTATATGCATCCCTGGAATCTTACTGTGTCATCGTGTATGGATTAATTTTCACTTTTTAACAATTGATCATAAGTAAAAAGATATCATTTCCTGTTTTATTCACATCTCTCCAGAGAGGCTGAACCCATTCTAGGTTTTTGTGACACACTCTGAAGTTTTTGTGTGAGAATCATGATCTTCTCAATCTTTATATGCATTCGTTTAAAATTAGACTTACCCATTGATATTTGCTCCAGTTATTTTTGTATGACTTGGAATTTCCTATGAAAACTTAAGATTTTGGTTACTACGTGAATTTCTACACAGGGATGAGAAATGACATGTATTCACTTCTCTCTCTCTCTTTTTCCCTAGATATTCTCTAAGTGGTGGAGGAACTTCATCCCACTGAAATTCCTTTGGCATTTGGGGTTTTGTTTTTCCTTTCTTCCTTCTTCATCCTCCTTCTTTTAAAAAGTCAACGAGAGCCTTCGCTGACTCCACTGAAGAGGTGCGCCACCGGGGGCCACCCCAACGCCGGGCGCCCGTCCAGGGACACACACAGTCTTCGCTGTGCCACAGCCAGATGAAGTCTCTCAGATGGGTGGGGAGGGTCAGCTCCTTCCAGTGATCATTTTATTTTATTTTATTACTTTGGTTTTTAATTTTAACCATAGTGCACATATTCAAGGAAAGTGTCTTTAAACACAGAAACCCTGAAATGTATATTTGGGATTATGATAAGGCAACTAAAGACATGAAACCTCAGGAATCCTGCTTTAAGTTGATAGCTCCCTCTGGGAGCTGGAGAATCGCTCTGGTGGATGGCTGTACAGATTTGTATATAGTGTCATTTTTACGGAAACCCTTTCGGCGTGCATAAGGAATCACTGTGTACAAACTGGCCAAGTGCTTCTGTAGATAACGTCAGTGGAGTAAATATTCGACAGGCCATAACTTGAGTCTATTGCCTTGCCTTTATTACATGTACATTTTGAATTCTGTGACCAGTGATTTGGGTTTTATTTTGTATTTGCAGGGTTTGTCATTAATAATAATTAATGCCCCTCTCTTACAGAACACTCCTATTTGTACCTCAACAAATGCAAATTTTCCTCTTGTTTGCCCTACGCCCCTTTTGGTACACTTAGAGGTTGATTTCCTCTTTCATCGATGGTACTATTTCTTAGTGTTTTAAATTGGAACATATCTTGCCTCATGAAGCTTTAAATTATTATTTTCAGTTTCTCCCCATGAAGCGCTCTCGTCTGACATTTGTTTGGAATCGTGCCACTGCTGGTCTGCGCCAGATGTACCGTCCTTTCCAATACGATTTTCTGTTGCACCTTGTAGTGGATTCTGCATATCATCTTTCCCACCTAAAAATGTCTGAATGCTTACACGAATAAATTTTATAACACGCTTATTTTGCATACTCCTTGAAATGTGCTCTTCAGAGGACAGGGCACCTGCGGTGTATGTGTGGCCGTGCGTGTGTACTCGTGGCTGTGCGTGTGTGATGAGACACTTTGGAAGACTCCTGGGAGAAGTCCCCCGGTCAGCGCCCTGGACAGCTTGCACACTTGCTCACTGAGATGATGCGGTTGGAGGTTGCTGATCTGTGCGATTGCTGTAGCGGTTGCTGGGGACCTTAAGGGTTATTTTGCTTCTCTGAAAGGGGCCTGTGCCTGCTAGCCAGGCAGCCAGTGTGTCTGTTTTTCTTGGTTTGCTGTGGGGCCTTGCTTGGCGAGGGGGAAATTCTCTGGGTTTCTGGAATGGGAGAGTTCTTGCAGCAGTTGTTGACTGGTACATGAAGCATTCTTTTATGTGTGTGGAAGCTGATGATTGACATCTCCCGTGGGTGTGCCAGTTCTTGTGGAGTGAGGATTTTTGGAAGCAAGGAAGTTAGTGGGTGAGCTTGGGGATGTAGCTCAGCTATCTGCTGGTCTAGTGGCCTCTAAGCTACAGGGGGGACAGAGCCCTGAGCTACAGATGCTTGAGTGGGTTATTGTGTCAGTTTGCTAGTGCAGTCTGGTTTTTAAGCTCTAAAATTGAGGTATTTTATTAGAAGTGGATTTGGGTTGAACTCTTTAATTTCTATAAGGGATATATTTTGGTTAGGGGAAATAGAACTGAGTTGCTAATTCTTATTGTACTCATTACTCTGCACAAGAATGTTATCTGGAATGATAAAATTGGGGAAGATTTCATTTTGTATTTCCAGGGAATATTGTGTGTGGGGAACTGTTTCCTTACGTGAAGCAGGCGGCATAAGCCAAAGGTTAGTTTTGTCTTTGTGAGAGAATCACACAGATGAGTCTGTGTTCCCCAGGGCGTGCCGTTACCTGATTTTTAAGTGAGCCAGGGCAGACAGCAGCTTCTCTGATTCACAGAGGTCTTCAGATTTACAAATGGACAGTGACATCAGTTTTTAACACTGAAGCCAGTCTCATGCTAGTAACAGTGGTTGTGCTGCTCGAGGGACTGGGTTCTGATGAAGAATATTGGTATGAACGGGGAGTCTCTGCAGTCGCCAGACTAATCCTACTCAGCTCCTTCCCCCGTGGCAGCAACAAGTGAATCTTTGGCAGCATTGAGTTGATTGGCAGCATTTCCTGTCGGGGCAGATGGGGTTTGATGGAGTTAGAAAGCTCGCCACCGTACACTGTCTCCTGGGCTGTTACTTTCTGTTGACACACAATATCAGCTCCAGAGTTTTTAAGGGCATCTTAGCCAAGGAAGCTGGCCTTTGTGTAGCCACTTCCAGGCCTGCATTAACAGAGAGCCCAGGCACCAGGGCTACAACTGGAACCTGCCTCAGCAGCAGCTGGTCTGTAGCCAGACCCGCGGGCCCAGCCTTTGAGATGGGTTTACTGTCACCAATAGCCTCTCAGTGCCAGCCCTGAGCTGCTCCTGGCTCAACTACCCGGAGCCTGCAGCCTGGGGAGGTGCTCAGCCTCTGCCTCTGGGAGACGAGGGCTGTGGGCTGGGTGGCTGCTGCCAGCGAGGTGGACACCAGTGTTGTTTGGGATGTCCTGGCCACCACCTGCTGGGTTCTGATTTTCTTGGAAGTGTATCTGCCTTCCTTATCCAAAAATTTTATTCCTGAGTTGCTCCTGTGAAGTGGCTGGTTTGGTTCTGTAGGTAGCATTTTGTACCTTTCCTTTGGCAAAACACGGTCAATTTATAAGCAGTTTTTTACATTTCCTTCTTTAAAAACAGCTTCTGTATTTCTGCTCTAAAATATGTCAGCAAAGGCAGAGTGACCTAATAGGGCATGTTCTTAAGCACAGGGACTGTATCATGCAGGGGCCAATAAAGCTCAAGAAAACGAGTATCTGCGTCATTGTGTGTCTTGTGTGTAGCGTGTCTCAAACTCCATCTGTCCCTGGCAGCTTGGGCGTGGACTGTTACCCACACTGGTATTTTCCTGAGGGCACACAGGAAGCAGAGGTGCTGGTCACAGGTCAGAACCACCAGTGTCCAGCAAAGTAGTTTGGAATCATTCAGAACTAGCTGAGGAGACTGCCTCGTCCCCAAGTCTCCAGGAATGAGTGACCAGTGACTTCTGGAGGGAGCCCGATAACATGGGGGCTTTAGAAACCCTTGCTGGAGTGTCCCCTTCCCCCCCCACCCCCAACCACACACACCACACAGAAAATGAAGACTACAAAGTTGGTTGTTTTGCCTTAAAACGTCAATATGTTGGATTGTGGCGTGAGGTATTTTTATTCCCTTTGTTAGTACTGGAAACCGTCTGGTACATCTTGTAAGGCAAATGATTAACACACGTCAGGCTCTTTGTCTGTTTGCAAGTTGCCGTTTCCAGGTACACCAGTCCGAGCTCCACAGAGAGGGCGTGCTCCTGGTTCTCAGGTGGGCAGGTGCCATGGTACGGGGCACTGGAAGGAACTGGGTTGAATCGGCCGTCGCCTCAGCTTGAGACTCTTGTTAGAAAGGGCTTAGGAAAACCGAGGGAATGGCAGCCACCCCATCACCGTCGAGAACAGACAGATGTTTCCCGAGTGGGGGCCTGAACCGTTGGAAACCACGTTCCCTGTGCAGTCTGACTGACACTACCCCATGCCTGGGGGGAATGAGTATAAAAAGGTAAATGTTTTTGAAGACAGGCACGATATATACTACTAGAGAATGCGCAGTTTCAAACCACAGTTGCAGGAGGATATAGGAATAACGACAGGTGCCGGGGACTACGTACCATGATTTCATAGTGCTCTGCAGCCAGCACACTCACTAAACGCTCATCACGGAACATACCACAAATGGCCCTGATCAATGACATACAGGTTTTCATGCTTGTGACACAGACAGCAAAACACCACGGCTTATCTTCCCATTGTGTACACCACTCACAGGACGGTGACAGTCCAGGTATTGCACTGGATCTCGGCTTCTCTTAACAGAAAACAACCCTGCTACGGTTTGGAAAGAGTTACCACTTAAAACGATTTGGTCAACTTGCACCAAGAAGTCGGTCGGGAACGGGTGTTTTCAGGTGAGCGTGAAACCCCGCAGTGGAACGCGGCGTGCTGCAAATTGCTTAGTAATCAGAGAAGTGAGTCCTACTAACTTCCTATTATTACAAAAGTAGAAAGACTGAAAAAACGAAATCTGAAAATGATCTCATTTGCTTAAGGCTGCACCGAGTGTACTGCAAACACCAGGAAATCCACTTTGTAAAATGCAGCAGCCAATAGGTGAAAATAACAAGTTTCTTTTTTTAGGGGAAAAAAAAACCAAAAAACACTTGCCCTGTCTTGTGTTGAACGGATGTGTGTGTGTGTTTCAGGGGCAGGGTGGAGGGAAGATGTCATTTGGCACTCTCGTAATGACAATGTTTTAATACTGGCACTAGCTAAAGAACAGCGCCCCCAGCGGATGCCAGGACTGGAGGTGGGAGCGCTGTTCATTCAGATGCTGGGAGGACGGGGTTGAAAAACGCGGCTGTGGAGACAGGAGAGCTGCTGGGAAGCCATGTTTTTGATTTTCAGACAGGTGTTAATTTTACCAGGCTTCATTAATACAGAAGAAAGAAAACGTCTTCCAGGAGAGCAGCCACTGCGGAAACGAGTGTTGTCCGGCCATCAATACACGAGAGACTCTTTGTGACTCAACACGTGGGCCCGCGAGGCAGAGCTGGTGGCACTGCGGATCACTTCCATCCACCTGCAACACGGGAACGTCAGTTAGTCAACCTTTTTTTTTGTTTGGACGGACTCATGACGCTTCGGTGGGCATCGCTTACGGAAACACGGGGTGAAGTCAGGTCGCCTTGTTGGCAATCTGCCACTTCAGCAGGAGAGCAAGGGAACGCCCAGCACCCAGGCGTTCTGTACAGTGGAGGCCTACTGGCCTGGGCACTCATTTAATATGGAGCTGTAAGCACCTTGCTGAGGTGACACTGCCCACCCCATTGGAGCAGTTAGGAGTGAGGTGGCCTCGGCTGTTGGGGAGAACGCTACCTCCTATTTTCATGGACACTGCAGAGAATGGCGGGGCGTGTCCCATCCTGCTTAGTGGAAGCTCCCCCTTTGAGACAGGGTCTGGCTGTCACTCATACTGGAGTTGGGACTACAAGCCTGCACCACCACGCCTGAATCTCCATTTTATATGTTTGTGTATTTGCTCTGTACCAGTGATTCTCAAATGGCTGTGATGCTGTCCCATTTGGTAAGGTCTGGAGACATTTTTAGATGTCCCAACTGAGGGGTTGCTGAGGGCATCTAGTGGGTGGAGGCTAGGGATGCTGCTGAACATCCGACACGATGCAGGACAGACTCCCCAAATTACCTGGCCCCAGGCCTTTCAGGATCTGGACTGCAAGGCGGGGCCCTTTGCCACAATAATAACAAAATCCCAACTTGGTTAAACCCAGCTCTTGAGCTCAGTCCCTCAAACTAAGTTTTTCAGTCCAGGATCAGATTTGAGAATGGTTCTCCTCTGGGTTCCTTTTCTGGTGATATTGCTTAGGAAGTGCTACCTTTGGATATCACAGGAGTTTTAAACTCTGGTTTTAAAGCATTGTGCTATTTCCAAAGAATTTACTGGGAAGTACGCATAATCGTCCCCGCTGCTTTAAAAAATCCCTGGGATTGATTGACAAACTGCTGTTCTGTCCCACAACATGGCCGGCAGTCCCTGAATTGGGGACTGCCCTGTCTGGTTTGCAGCCTGAGGACCTCCCTCCCCCCAGGAGGTGGCTCAGAACAGCCTTAGGCCTGACTCTTATTTCGCTTTATTTCTTGGTTAAAGGAAGTCTGTGGTCCCTGGGTCCCATTACACCATGTAGGCAGTCTCACTAATAACCCTGAAGAGTTTTTCCTTCCTCATACGGTCCTTTGACCTGAAACAGCATTTCTGCCATAGCCCTGGCAGCAGCAGCGTGACTAGTACTGCTGCAGCCACAGACTGCGAAGCCCGAGGTGCAGTTTGGTGTTTGTCGTGAAAGGCTTCCACTGGGCCTGGGTGGGTAAAGCTGGGCCAGCAGAGGCCGGTGTAGCGGCACCCACTGGGGCTTAGCTTCATAGTCCCGTACACACATCAGAGATCTCCAAGCAAGCTGTCTAGGGCCTCAGCCAACGCCGTGCAGGGTAAGGGCCCAGGGAAGTCGGGACCCCACTCTGCCATGAGAACAGAATCGCCTGCTGATGTCAGGCAGTGGGACCCCAGGTCTAAACACTTCAGTTGGCAGGGAAGGGTGGGGCCATCTCACTCGCTGACTTGGGAGCAGAGCCCTGTGCCTGGGAAGGGGGCAGCTACCTTTCGAACGTGTACTCGCTTTCCGCCCTGAAGTAGTAGACGTGGGACTTGAAGTGCAGCTTGAACACATAGTCTTTGTGGATGTTCTCGGACTCAGAGGGGATGGTGAGCGAGTAGCCGAGCAGAGGCAGGCTGGCGAGGGGATGATTGTCCTGGAAAGGGGAAACAAAGTGGCTTTTCGGGGGCAGCTTCTGCTGCTGGGCCTGGCTGCTGCCCCACATCGGGCAGGGACTCCGGGAGCCCAGACAGCGCCACCCTCGGGCGTGGGCCTGGAAGGGATCATGGGAGCCAGTGTTGGCCTGTACGTGATGGCCCAGGTGCCAAGTCCCCACCAGGACTGAGCTGTGGATAAAGCCAACCCCCGTCCCTTGTCCCGCCAGAAGATAAGTGGCCCTTTCTAGGGCGGAAGTGGTCCTTCAGTGGATAATATCAGCCTTTCCTAGAGCTGAGGGCCTCAGGTGGACAGGGGCCCCTCGCCAGCATCCCTGTCATCCCCGTGACACCTGGCTGGAGCTCAAGAGGCCTGAGTCCTTCCAGAGGAGGGCGGCCCCCTCACCTCATGCTGCCACCCACCCTGTGTGTGGCACTTACCTGGTGTGACTTGTAGAAGAACAGGCAGAAGTTTGTGAACACCACCCACAGCTTCTGCCACCCGTTGCTGTTTTTGAATTTCCTCAGCAGGTTCCCAGACAACTGATTCTGCAAGGCAAGGAGGCCTGTGAGAAGCACGGCGGGCACCTGCCCCAGCTGGGTGCAGAGAGCAGCTCCCCCTGCACCAGGGCCCTGGGCTGGGGCATGTCCACGACTGAAGGATGAGGCCTCGCTGCTCCCCCGTGTGTGGGGAGACTTGGCAGGTCCTGGGACCCTGATCTCATCACTTCCCCTTGCCATTTGCTGTGGGGCATCTTGGGGGCCCTGTGTCCCACCAAAAGACACGCTGAGGTCCTGACCACCAGTACCTTAGAACGCAGGCATATTTGGAAACAGGCTCGTTGCAGGGTAACTAGTGAAGACGAGATCACACTGGGGTAGGGTGGGCCCTAAATCCAACGGGAGTGGTGTCCCGAGGAGAAGAGACACCTGGCGGGGAGGGAGTGGGCCCTGTGACACCGAGGCAGAAATGGGGGTGCAGGAGCCCACGCGCTGCCAGCAGGCGGAAGCTGAAAGAGGGAACGATCCGTCTCAACAAGCTCGGAGCAGCAGCACTCATTTTGAGGCGTCGGGCACCCTGCGCAGGAAGTGGGGCCTGGGGTGCTGCTGTGCGGCTCCCACCTGCCCTCTAGTGGCCCAGGAGGCAGCCGCAGCCCTGCCCACCTCCAGGCTCCCGGCTGGCCCAGCCCCTGGAGCATTGTTGGGATGCGCTGCAGCCCAGCTGGGGGCAGGGACAGGCACCTGTGTCCATGCTACCTCCAAACAACCCTCAGCAGGCCTGACACGCTGGTGGCTCATTTGGTTGCTTTGCAAAAGTGACATCACCAGCAGATACTCAAAGCAGTTACACCACCTTGTAAAGGCACTTAATGCCACTGAATTGTTCATATAAAAATAGTTGG